ATTGGCAGGTGGATCCTTAACCACTGGACCACCAGGGAAGTCCTGGAGGGATGATTACATCACCTTTAAATATGAAGTGGTTAGATTATATGAACACTTTCAAGTATGTGAGTATGTTTGTGTGAGAGAGAACATGGAGAAGAGAGATATAATAAGAAAGGGAGAAAAGAGAGAGTGTAAGCCAGAAATGACCAGGTCTTACCCACAGCTCTCTGCTGGTCTCAGAGTTCCCTGGTGCTGCCACCTACACTTTCATCCTATGTAGGATGAAATTTCAGTCAGGATGGATATAAAGGACCTAAGACATTGCTTTCTGAATAGGACTTGATGACTCTTCCTTTTGGCTAAAGATGGGAAGCAGGGCAGCTGGTGTCTGAATAATCAGCCCATGCAAACAAGGAGAAAACAGGTAAGCAGTTCATGCCTTGATGAGGATGGCGAACCCAAGAACTGATGGTTGGATCCTTAGTTTATAAGTGAAGGGGCTGAACTGAGACCACATCAGACATATATCAGCTTTGGTGAGGCCTTGGGGAGGTAGTCCCAAGACAGCTTGTTGAGATGAACCTGGATAATTGCTTCAATATTAATATCTGTAAGCAGAGATCTTGGGAAATGAATCTTATTTACAAGGAGTAAACCAATTCCACCTTGGGCAGAAATCTTAATCCTAGTTTTCCTAGGATTGGATTAAGCCAGAAATAAAGAAGACTTCACATAGAGTGCAGCCTGGCTTTGAATCACCAGAGATTCAGAAAGTCTCAGGGACTATATTTGGATTAAGATGATCCCAGATTGCTAGTGACTCCAAGTCCTGCATCAAAGAAATTTAAAAAAGTTGTATTTGGAGGAAAATAGCATCACCTTAGACCTCAAATATTTCTTCTCATCACATTTTCAATCATAACATCAAGCACAAAACTAAAGATAAGCAGACACATAAATAAGATTCCTAAAGCAAGAACTAACAGCCGAAAGGCATACAGAGGCTTCTCTGTTCATGGAATTCTCCAGACAGGAATACTGGAGTGGGTAGCCATTCCCCTTTCCAGGGAATCTTCCTGACTCAAGGACTGAACCCGGGTCTGCTGCATTGCAGGCGGATTCTTTACCGTCTGAGTCACCAGAGACTGTAGATAGTATAGTAGTCAGACACGGGATGAGAAGCAATGATGTTTATGATGTTTTAGCATATAGAACCAAGAATGGAAAATTTGGCAGGACTTTACAGATTGAACCAACATGAATAGCCAGCAGTCAGATCACAAACACATTGCTAACTCTGCAGGAATCCTGTCATGTTCTCTGCTGGTTGCTGTTCCTGCAGGGGAAGTCACTTCCTTGACTCCTAAAAGGATGAGTTAGCTTTACCCATTTTTGCACCTATTTAAATGGGAGTGCACCTTTTTTATTTTCTTGTCTACCTCTTTCACTCAACATTATGTATGTGAGGTTCATCCACTTTGTTGTATGTGGTTGTAGACTTTTCATTTTCATTGCTGTATAGCATTCTATTGTGTGAATAAGCCATTAAAAAAATCCATTCTACCATTGATGGGGATTGTGGTTTCCAGTTTTGGCTGCTGTGGATAGTGAAGCTGCATAGGGCATCCCTGTGGAGGAGTGGGATTTGTGGATGATACTGTAGGTGTTTGTTTAGAAGATAGGGCTAAACAGGTTTCCATCACACTTGTAATGATCACCCTCCTAGTAGCAATGGATTCCTCCTGTTCCACATTAAAAAAATATTTTTATTAATTAATTTTTTTATTGGAATACAATTGCTTTACAATGTTGTGTTAGTTTCTGCTGGACAGCAGAGTGACTCAGCTATGTATATACATATCTGTGTAGTTGCTATGCTGTGTCCGACTCTTTGCAATCCCATGGACTGTATAGCCTGCCAGGCTTCCTGTCCATGCAATTCTCCAGGCAAGAATACTGGAGTGGGTTGCCATTTCCTCCTCCAATGTATACATATAGCCCTTCTTTTTTTTTTTTCATTTATTTTTATTAGTTGGAGGCTAATTACTTTACATCATTGCAGTGGGTTTTGTCATACATTGAAATGAATTAGCCATGGATTTACATGTATTCCCCATCCCTGTCCCCCCTCCCACCTCCCTCTCCACCCGATCCCTCTGGGTCTTCCCAGTGCACCAGGCCCGAGCACTTGTCTCATGCACCCAACCTGGGCTGGTGATCTGTTTCACCCTAGATGATATACATGTTTCGATACTGTTCTCTTGAAACATCCCACCCTCGCCTTCTCCCAGAGTCCACAAGTCTGTTCTATACATCGGAGTCTCTTTTTCTGTTTTGCATATAGGGTTATCGTTACCATCTTTCTAAATTCCATATATATGTGTTAGTATACTGTAATGGTCTTTATCTTTCTGGCTTACTTCGCTCTGTATAATGTAGCCCTTCTTTTTTGAATTTCATTCCCCTTTAGGAACTTTCTGTCTCACTGTCCTTACTGCAGTCTCTGGAAAAGGGTGAGGGACTGGAGGTTGAATTAATAACCAGTGGCTGGAGATTCAATGAGTTATGCCTATGTAATAAAGTCTGTATAAATACTGCAAAGGACAGGGTTCAGACAGCTTCTGGGTTCGTGACACGTGGAGGTTTAGGTAGAGTGCTGCACCCAGAGATGGCATAGAAGCTCCATGCCCCTTCCCATATACCTTGCACTGTGAGTCTCTTCCACTCGACTGTTTCTGAGTTATGACTTTTTATAATAAATTGGTAGTCTGGTAAGTGGAACGTTTTCTCTGAGTTCTGTAAGGACCTCTAGCAAATTAATTGAGCCCAAAGAAGGGGTCTTAGGAACCTCCTATCTATAGCTGGTCAGTCAGAAGCACAGGTGACAACTTGGACTTGAGGTTGTCATCTGAAGTGGTGGGGTGGGGGTGGGGAGGTGAGCCCTTAGCTTGTGGAGTCTGATGCCATCTCTGATACTGGTACTGTTACTGTTACAATACAGTACTCTGATACTGATACTGTTATAATTGAGGAACTGTAGGACCCCTATCTGATGTCAGAGAATTGCTTAGTGGTATGGACAGAACACACACGCATTAGAATTGGCATCCGAATCATAGAACCTAAACAGAGATTGGATCTCACAATGACCTCCTCCCCTTCTGCTCCTTCCACCACCACTCCTGTTTGTGAGCATGTGTTGAAATGTTTGAGAGTTTTGTTTTGAGGTAATGAAGAAGAGATGGAAGGTGAAGAGCCACAGAAATAAGGGGCAGGATGGGCTTCCTGAGGACAGAGTCTGATTTCTCTCAGAGGAAAAAAATTGCAGGAAAAAGGCAAGTGATGTAGTATGGCTTTGGAGTCCAAGGGATAAAAATCAGCCCAGAGAAAAACACAGAAATATCTTTCTATTTCTGCCTGAATACCAGGGGCTGTGTCCAGAGGGACTGTGGGTCAAAACTGAGGCAGTGGGAGCTGTGTCTGGCAGAGAGAGCATCAGGAAGGGGGTGGCCTCACTCAGGGTACCTGCAGTGCGTGTATTGTCAGGTGTGTTCTATAAATGGCTTGAAGGCAGCAGGCTCCTCAAAGAAGTTCAGAGTTCAGAAGAATATGAGTGATTATCAGAGAAATGCAAATCAAAACCACAATGAGGTACCATTACACACCAGTCAGGATGGCTGCTATCCAAAAGTCTACAAGCAATAAATGCTGGAGAGGGTGTGGAGAAAAGGGAACCCTCTTACATTGTTGGTGGGAATGCAAATTAGTACAGCCACTATGGAAAACAGTGTGGAGATTTCTTAAAAAGCTGGAAATAGAACTGCCATATGACCCAGCAATCCCACTTCTGGGCATACACACCGAGGAAACCAGATCTGAAAGAGACACATGCACCCCAATGTTCATCGCAGCACTGTTTATAATAGCCAGGACATGGAAGCAACCTAGATGCCCATCAGCAGACGAATGGATGAGGAAGCTGTGGTACATATACACCATGGAATATTACTCAGCCATTAAAAAGAATTCATTTGAATCAGTTCTAATGAGATGGATGAAACTGGAGCCCATTATACAGAGTGAAGTAAGCCAGAAAGATAAAGACCATTACAGTATACTAACACATATATATGGAATTTAGAAAGATGGTAACAATAACCCTATATGCAAAACAGAAAAAGAGACTCAGATGTATAGAAGAGACTTGTGGACTCTGGGAGAAGGCGAGGGTGGGATGTTTCAAGAGAACAGCATCGAAACACGTATATTATCTAGGGTGAAACAGATCACCAGCCCAGGTTGGGTGCATGAGACAAGTGCTCGGGCCTGGTGCACTGGGAAGACCCAGAGGGATCGGGTGGAGAGGGAAGTGGGAGGGGGGACCGGGATGGGGAATACATGTAAATCCATGGCTAATTCATTTCAATGTATGACAAAAACCACTGCAATGATGTAAAGTAATTAGCCTCCAACTAATAAAAATAAATGAAAAAAAAAAAAAAGAAGAATATGAGTGAATGTATGTTAGCGAACATGTGAGAGTCACTAAGCTATAACTGTGTATATCTGGATAAGGCTGGGACTGTAATCCTAGGTTAGTGCAAGTTGAAGGATTTGATCCTGCAAACTTCTACTATTAATTAGTATTGTGTATGTGTGTGCATGTTAGTCACTCACTTATGTCCGCCTCTGTGCAACCTCATGGCCTGTAGCCCACCAGACTCCTCTGTCCCTGGAAGTTGTCAGGCAAGAATACTGGAGTGGATTACCATTTTCAACTTCAGGGGATCTTCCCAGGGATCGAACCTGCATTTTTTGTTAGTGGTACTTTATTTATTGTCAAAACTGGTCAGGTGTGGTGGACATTGGGTTGTACTTGGTGTATTTTTTCATCATAGACATATAAGATTATTTTGAGCTAAATCTATCCTGTATCCCACATAGGATAATGCCTTGGACATGGTGAAGGAAATTCCTATCTCCACTGTAATGCCCTTTCCAAATTTATCCTCAAGTCAACCTCTGAAAGACTTTCCTATGAAGAATCTTCCCAGAGCCCCATGTATGTCCTTGTTCCTCAGGCTGTAGATGAAAGGGTTCATCATGGGCGTCACCACAGCATACATCACTGTGGCTACTGAGTCCTTCATGGAGTAGGTGTCAAGAGGCTTCAGATATACCATGCAAAGGGTCCCATAGAAGAGGGAGACCACAGCCAAGTGGGAGGCACAGGTGGAGAAGGCTTTGTACTTGCTAGAGGCTGAGGGTATTCGGAGGATCGCTCTGACAATCCAGACATAGGACATGACCATGAACCCAAAGGGGGTGAGGAAGATAAAGGATCCTGTGGCAATCAGCACTGTGTGATTGATCTGGGTTTTGGAACATGCAAGTCTCAGTAAGACATACATCTCACAAAAGATATAGTGAATCTTCCGGGACCCACAGAAGGTCACGTTGGTCATGAGGAGGGTGTGAATGAGGCCGTAGAGGACAGAGAGTGCCCAGCACAGGGTAAGGAGTGAAATACAGACCCTTGGGCTCATGGCCATGGTGTAGTGGAGCGGGCGGCAGATGGCCACGTAGCGGTCATATGCCATCGTGGCCAGGATGAGGTTGTCCAGAGCCACCAAGGAGACCAGGAAGTAGAGCTGGGTCAGACACCCCACGTATGAGATGGCTTTGTTCTGGGACTGAAGGTTCACCAGCATCTTGGGGATTGTGTTGGTGATGAAGAAGAGGTCGGTGAAGGAGAGGTTGGCCAGGAAGAAGTACATGGGAGTGTGCAGGTGGGAATCAAAGCTGATGGCTAAGATGATGAGCACATTTCCCACCACTGTGACCAGGTACATGGACAGAAACATCCAAAACAGGACCCTCTGATGCTCAGGACTCTCTGACAGCCCAAGGAGCAGGAACTCAGAGACTCTACTATGGTTGCTTCCATCCATTTCCCCAACTTCCTGCAACACAACACAGATGTTTACTATATGCCCTCAAGTAAATAAAAGCATTAAAATAAGCAAAATCAACTGTTTTCCTGACAAGAACAGTATCTTAACTAAATTTTATACCTTTTTGGGATGTAAGAGACAATATAACAAACACAAAAACAAGATATGGAAAATCTTCATGCAGTTTAGTCATTCTGGCAAGTTCTAGTCTGGCATACTCAATATAATAGGAATAATGTCTAGGTCTTATTTTAAACCACATCTTGTTACAACTCTCTTTATGTGCTTAAAGATCAGTATGTTATGATATTCTGTAGATTTAATAATATTTAAAACAAGTGTCTTCAGTAAAAAAAAACTGATGTTACGCAATGGGACAAAGGGGAAAAAGGTAAAAATATTAGAAAGGAAATGTAAAAATTACCATTATTTGCTGATAAGATGATATATTCAGGAAATCTAAAACGATCAACTGATATGCTACTAGAAATAAAAAGGGATTTCAAAACACTTGAAGTTAAGTCTGGGCTCTGGCACTTTCTAACTCTGAAACGTCAGGCAAGTTACCTGGCTCTTTAAGATCCCATTTCTTCATGTGAAAAATGGGTTAAGGTGAGAATAAAATGAATAAAGTGCTTAACATAGATAGCTGGCCTGCAGTGAATGCTCCAGAATTACTCCTTATTATTATTGTACAATAACAATACTCAGGAATAATAAGATTAAAATATAATGTGAAATAATCCCATCCACATCAACAACTGAAAAAACCCATGTGTTAAAATGTTAACAAGAATCAGGGCTTCCTTAGTGACTCAGGGGTAAAGAATCCGCCTGCCAATGCAGGAGACATGGGAAGATCCCACATGCCACTGAGCAGCTCAGCCCACGCACCACAGCTATTGAGCCAGCGCTTTGGAGTCTGAGAACCGCAACTACTGAAGCCTGCATACCTGAAGCCTGGGCTCCACAGCAAGAGAAGCCACCTCAATGAGAAGTCTGTACACCGCAGCTAGAGAGTAGCCCCACTCACCTCAACTAGAGGAAAGCCTGTGTAGCAACAAAGACCCTGCACTGCCCCCCCAAATGTTAACAAGGATCAGTCAGGTTCTTTAAATTCTCCAGAGAAACATATGATAAAAACTCAATAAATGGGTAAGCACATTAAGATTCCAAAGATGCATATTCTACTGAATTAATATAAATTTTAACTCATTTGAAGTCAAAATTCTAACAGGTTTTTTGAGAAAGAAAAATATCATCTCATTTTAGTCTAAAAGTAAGTATGAGAATAAGTTAGGAGAATGCTGGAAAAGAGAATAATAAGGAGATTCTTCCTCTGCCAAATTTGAAAAATTCTGAAACAGTGTGATACCGGTGGAATAAACAGGTTGATAGAATTGAACAGAAACTCAAATGTAGGCCAAATAACATGTAGCGTTTAGTTGATTATTATGGGAGCACTTTTACCGGGAGATACATTTTGTATTAGTCAGTAAATGGCATTGAGACAATTGTCTATTTAGGGGGAAATGTGAGAGCAATGGACTTCCCAGGTGGCGTAGTGGTAAAGAATCTGCCTGCCAATGCAGGAGATGCAGGTAATGTGGGTTTGATCCCTGGATTTTGCAGATACCCTGGAGAAGGAAATGGCAGCCACTCCAGTACTCGGGGAAATGCCACGGACAGTGGAGCCTGCTGGGCCACAGTACAGTTCATGGGATCGCAAAAGGGTCGATCACAACTGAGCGTCTGAACATACGCACATGAGATCAATGTTTTGCTTCTTATGAAATACCTTTCAGGCATACTGAGGATGAAGATAGCATAATGTGTATTTTTTCCTTTTTAAAACTTAACATGTAAGAAATAAAACTTTTTAAAATTCAAAAAATAAAAAAGTATGTAAATAAGATACATCGAATTATACTTTATGGAGATAGATAACAACTGTTTATATTTGATATTTTTGTTATTTGAGATGTGAAGGGTGAAAAAAAGTCAGTCTATGAAGTGTTGAGAGCATTTCAGAAAGAGAGTTCCATGTGCAAAGGACCCAAGCTGTGCTTTTGTTGTATTTAAGGGATTAAATATAGTTTGGGATGGCTGGAGAGCAGAGTGGTGAGATATGGGATTGTATAGGTAAGCAGGGAGTCAGGTCATTCAGAGCCTTATTATGAGTTTAAAATTTATTCCAGGTGCAGTGAGGATCATTAAAATGTTTAAGCACAGGAGGATGTATATATTTAGTAACTATTTTGGCTTGTGGGATCTTAGTTCCCTGACCAAGGATTGAACCCGTACCCATGCCACCTGCATTGGGAGTGGGGAGTCTTAACTGATGGCCCACTAGGGAAGTCCCTCACAACTATTCTTTTATTTGTGTTTTGGTAACATTATTTTAATAATTATGTATTTTCATTTCTGATCAAATGATTTTTAAGTGCCTGTTACATTAATAGCTCTGATAATATTGAAACACTTCCAATCCTGATATAAAATACTGAAATTGATTTCCAGTTGTTTAATTTAGACTGTTGTAGCCACATTTATAAATGAGGTTTATCTGTTATTTTGTTATTTCTTTTTTATATGCCATCCTTATATGATTTAATTTTTTGTTTGCATTTTTTTGCATATAATTTGTTTGTATTATCCTCCATCTTAAACTTATATTTCACTTATTGTCTATTTCTGTTATCTGGAATTTGTTGAAATTTTTTCAATAATTTCATATGTAAATTTTAAAAGAAGTCCCATGGAATTAATTTTCCCAAAATAGTTTCTAATACATTGCAATCTATTGATTATAAACAAAAAATTCCAGTGTGAATGAGTCAAGCAATACAGAAAAATTTAAATTGAAAGAAAGTAAACATCATCCCAAATTCTGCCATGCAACTACTGTTAACATTTTTAGTGAGCATACTTTTATTTTTCCAGTCATCTTTATTCAGTCAACAATGAGATGAAGAGCTTCCTCCAGTTCAAAATTGTAATTTGTTTCCTATTTTTCCTCCTTAAATAAACTATATTTCTACCTGCATAATTTTTTTCTTTATTCTTAAAAGTTAAAATTTACCAATTCTGTTTAGGAACTACATTGTATTCCACTATAGGAAGATAGAGAACAACTATTCATATTTTGCTATTTTTGAAATTTGAAACGTGAAGGATGTTTCTCCTTCATTGATTTATCTGACTTATACTGTCTTTTCCAATTTAAAAATTATGTCTCACCTCATTTAATGAGAATCTACTTTCATTTTTTTCATTTTTTTTTCTGCTACATTTCTTGGAATTTATCCTATGTATTGGATAATAATTAGCATTTCATTTTGAGATTTTTTTTAAATTTATTTTTTAATTGGAGGAAAATTGCTTTACAATGTTGTGATGGTTTCTGCCATACAACAGTGCAAATCAACCATAATTATACATATGTCACCTCCCTCTTGAGCCTCCCTCCCCTTCCCCATTCCACACTCTAGATCATCACAGAGCCCCTGGCTGGGCTCTCTGTGTTATATAGTAACTTCTCGCCTATAAAATGGTATTGATGAACCTATTTTCAGGGAAAGAAAGGAGACGCAGATCTAGAGAACGGACTTGTGGACACAGTGGGGGAAGGAGAAGAAATGGGCAAATGAAAAAATGAGACAAATGGAGAAAGTAGCATAGACATACATACACTGTTATTTTGAGATTTTGAGTCAGAAGTTTATGTCTAAACCCCAAGTAACACATACAACTCTTTTTTTTTTTTTAAAAAAAAAAACACAAAAAACCCACTACCCTGTTTGCTCAGATAATGTGTTGTGACTATCTATCTATCTGTCTCTTCTATTTAGTCTGCACAATAGTACTATTTGTTTTTGTTACCCCATTTTGTGGATGAGGTCACTGAGACTTAGCAGGTTAATGAATTTCCCAAATTCCTTCTACTAGTTAGTGACAAAGTTGGGATTTGAGTCCCATTCTGTGTCTCTGGAGTCAACACCCTAGCCACTCTACCACACATTAAACAAGAGTAAAGATGCCTACCTCAGACTATGCTGGTGGTCCAGTGGTTAAGAATCTGCCTGCCAATGCAGGGGTCATGGGTTCGATCCCTAATCCAGGAAGATCCCACATGCCGGGGAGCTAATGAGCCTGTGCGGCACAACTGCTGAACCAGCACTCTGGAGCTCTTGAGGCACAGCGACTGAGCTCACATACTGCAACTACTGAAGCCTGTGTGCCTAGAGCCTGTGCTCTGTAACAAGAGCCACAGCAATGACAGGCCTGCGCACTGCATCTAGAGAGTACCCCCAGCTTGCCTCAACTAGAGAAAGCCCATGCGCAGCAACAAAGGCCCAGAATAGCCAAAACAAAAAATGCCTACCTCACTGTGCGTTTAGAAAAGATCTGAAATGCTAGATGTCGAAGCATTCCACCATCCTTAATGCCCTGTGTAAGTGGATGGAGAGATGATGTTATTGGGGGCAGGGGTGCTCAAAAGGAGTCCTATTCTTTACCGTTTCTCAATGTTTCTGAGTAACACCCCCCTGCCCCCGACCCCGGCTCAGTAGGCAGCCCTGCTCTCAGAACCAAGAAGAATCAGTGGCCCCACAAAAAATGCCTACCTCACTGTGCGTTTAGAAAAGATCTGAAATGCTAGATGTCGAAGCATTCCACCATCCTTAATGCCCTGTGTAAGTGGATGGAGAGATGATGTTATTGGGGGCAGGGGTGCTCAAAAGGAGTCCTATTCTTTACCGTTTCTCAATGTTTCTGAGTAACACCCCCCTGCCCCCGACCCCGGCTCAGTAGGCAGCCCTGCTCTCAGAACCAAGAAGAATCAGTGGCCCCAGTCTTGACGCCATCCTGGACATGGCTTTTCTCCCCACTCACCTGTACCCACAGCCTCAGCCCACCTTGTCTGCAGGAAATAGCCCAGAATGTCAAGGTGGAGATTCACATGTGGCTGTCCTCTTGGTGCTATCTACATGGAGGAG